AAAAGTCTACAGAGATATATAGACAGGCTAAGTGAGTGAACAAAAAAATTGGCAGATGGAATGTAATGTGGGAAAATTTGAGGGAATGCATTTGGCAGGAAAAACAAACTGAGGTATATGTAATGTTTAGGAAACTGAAAACCGAGAACCTGAAGAATGCAAAGATAGCAGCAAAGAACTCAAAGAATTTGGAGGGCTAAAAGGGGCCGTGGAATATCTTTGGCCAGCAGGATTAAGGGAAATCAAGGTGTTTTACCGACATATAAGGAGCAAGTAAGTAGCTAAGGAAATGGTAGGTCTACTCAAGAACAAAGAGTTTACGCTTTGAACTGGAGAAAGTGGGTGAGGTCCTTAACAAATACTCTGCATCAGTATTCACAAAAGAGAAGGACATGGTGGGTGGTGAGTTTTGGGAGAGGTATTGAAATTTTAGGGCATATCAATATAAAAAAGTGTTGAGTGTTTTTGATGCATTTTGGTAGACAGATCCCTAGGACCTGATGGTATCTATTCCAGAATGCTGAGGGAGGCAAATGAGGAAATTGCTGGAGCCTTAATAACATTGTTGTACCCTCTTCAGTCGCAGGAGAGGCCTTGCAGGACTAGAGAACAGTCAAAGTTGTACCTCTGTTTAAAAAGGGCAGCAGGTATAATCTAGGAAATTGCAGGTCAGTGAACCATGTGTCAGTGGTAGGGAAATTATTCAAGAAGATTCTTAGGGATACGATTTATTTACATTTGGAAAGATATGGACTTATTAGGGATTGGCAGCATAGCTTCGTGCAGGGAAGGCCGTGTCTCTCAAACTTGATCGAGTTTTTTGAAGAAGTGACAAAATGATTGAGGGCAGGGTGCTAACCTTGTCTATATGGCTTCAGCAAGGTCTTTGATCAGGTCCCTCATGGCAGACTGCCTTTTACAAAAGGTGAAAGTCACATGGGATCTGTGGGGTGCTGGTAAGATGGATACAGAACTGGCTTAGTCAAAGAAGCCAGCATTTTAGAAGATCCAATACAGGAAAGAAGTATACAGTAAATTGGAGAAGCCTTAGTAGTACTGGATTTCAGGTCCACAATTCTCTGAAAGTGGCAACTCCAGTGGATAAGGTGGTCAAGAAGGTATCTGACTTAGAGTACAAAAATTGGCAAGTTGTGTTGCAGCAATCTCGAATTTTGGTTAGGCCACATTTGGAATACCATGTACAGTTCTGGTTGCCATGTTACCAGAAGGAAGGCTAGAGAGGGTGCAAGTCATCAGTATGCTGCCAGGTTTGGAGGATATAAGCTATGAGGAGAGATCAGACAAGTTTGCTTTGTTTTCAGTTGAACGTCAAAGACTAAGGGGCAACCTGATAGAAGTTTACAAAATTGAGGCATGGATAGAATAGATAATTGGAGTCTTTCTTTTCCCCCAGGATAGAAGTGTCAGTTACTAGGGGACATAGATTTATGGTGAACGAGGGTAAGTTTAAAGGAAATGAGTGGCAAGTTTTTTTAACACAAAGTGCTAAGTGCCTGGAATGCGCTGTCAAAGGAGGTGGTGGAGGCAGATACAGTAGCAATGTTTGAGGCATCTTGACAGATAAATGAATAGGCAGAGAATAAAGAAATGCAGTTTGTGTACAGGCAAAAGGTTTTTAGTTTAGAAAGACATCATGTGTTAACGCAGCCTTGTAGTTTGAAGGACCTGTTTCTGTGTTATGTTGTTTGTTCTTAGTGTTACGAAACAGAGAGATTTGGCAGTCCTTATGCATGAATCACAAAAAGCTATATTTCAAAGGGAATGGAGTGTAAAAGTAAAGAGGTTTTGCTAAAACTATACCAGCGGCTACTCAGACCTTAGCTGGAATACTGCAGACAGTTTTGGGACCCTTATCCAAGGATAGATATACTGGCATTGAAGACAATCTGGAGAAGGTTCTCTCAGCTGATACCGTGTATGGAAGGACTGCCTTACGAAGAAAGGGTGATTAGTTTGGACCTGTACTCATTTGAAATTACAAGAATGAAGAGTGACCTTATTGAAAAATACAGGATTCTTAGGGGACTTGGTGAGATGCAGAGTGCTTGTTTCTCTTCATGGGAGTGTCTAGCACTGGAGGATTTGATTTCAGAATAAGAGGTCACTAAGTATATTCAAGGTGAAGATAGATTTTTGATCAATAAGCCAATTGAGTGTTATAGGAATAAGGCAGGAAAGTGGAGTGAAGGATTATTAGCCATGGTCTTGTTGATTGGCAGAGCACACTCAGCTGAATTGCTGGTCTGATGTATTTATGCTTTTTCCTTTTCTTATCCTTTAGTTTCTCTCTCATCTCACCCATGAGCACTTAATCTCTCCCTGGATCCCATTCCAGTTGTTTCATAGCCCCAGTGCTGGTTGACTTTGTAAATGACTCTGTCTCTCAAACACTGTGTACCCTTCCCTAAACCTCTCAAATCCAGTCATAACTTTTTTTTTCCCCATACAACTCTGACCGGACCAACCACAGTATCATTGACAACCTGCCTTTCCTCTGCAAATATGATGTTGTCACCTGAATCTGTGTCTACCACTTCTGCAGTTCCCTGTTTGATGCCCTCCCATCAGGTTTCTTCTGTTTCACTGCAATGGAATAGCATTTGCAGGCATTGAATAACATTCTTTGATCCTAGTACAATACCCTTCTTCATCCTCCTTGACATCTTTGCAAACATTGATATAATTGCTGCTTCTTTGTTGTTCGGTTGGGAAGACTGCTGTTTACTTAGCCACAGCATCTCTGACAATAGCCTCTCTCACTCTGTACCCTGTCTACTCCTGTCCCCACACTTATCAATTCTGGAATCATCTAAGATTGTAGCTTTTGTCTGGTCCTTTTTCTCCTGTCTTGTGACAACATTTGCGAATGATATCAGCTTTCTACACATACGCTGATGCATGAGATATTTTATATATAAAAGGTACTACAAAAATAATATTTGCTGCTCCTTTTGTACTAATTAGAGCTGAAATGATTCCTCATTAGCTCAGACTGGAAACATATTGTGAAGGAATGAAGCAATGTTGGTCCTAGTGGCTTATTTTATTTCAATTTTCAGAAGCAATATAAAGGTTCACTCTTAGAAAAGAGTTGTTGAGTATGGTTTGGTAGGAACAAGAAAGTCAGCATATTAGTCATTCATCCAGTTTCATAATCAAAAACCAATCTGCGTTTTTTGTCTTTTTAAAATCTACATCTCATTGCTTCCTGCTGAAATTGAAACCTGTGCAATTCCCCTTTGAATGCTTCAATTAGGCCACAGTTCTGCTAATCTGGTTGTGTGGATATTGAAAGATTTTTGACTGAATCTAACAAATAATACAAACTAAAATCCATTTGCCTTTTATAGGTCTCATAAATATTTGAGATGGTACCATGAGCACTTATCTTTTATTGCAGCGTGAAAACAGTTGGTACCAGACATAGTTTAAATGTGAATTTTTGCAGCTTAACAATGGTGTGTTGATGTGTCCTAAACAAAGTCCAGTTTGTTCAGGTTAACTTTTACTGCTCAGCTGTGAAACAGAAGGCCAACAACAAAAAAAAGTCTTTGCTTCATCTTGAAAAAATGCCACTGGTCTTCTGTAGAATTGGATCAGAGCAATCAGGACAGATGTGCTTATAGTCCCAATTCCTTGTTATCTGGTTTAAATTGAAGACCACAGTTAAATCATGTTCTCAAAACAAAGTCTACTTTTATACTTTATTTTCTTGTGCAAACTTCAGCTTGAAGGGTGAAGTGATCTGGAATTTGATATGGCAATCTTTGCAAGCAGAACACCAATTTTTCATTTTGCTGAGGTGAACCAACTTAATTCAGTATTGTATTCTTTAGAAAGGCGTGGATTTACACTGGTGAAACTCAGCCACGCAACCTTTTTAGGATTATTTTCTCAGTATTTGGTACTCTGACAGATGTTAGAGCATTGGGAGTGGAAAATGTCTTATTTTGGCATTTATTGTCAGTATCATAAAATTTAAGGTAGATACTGCAGTTAGGTGCAAAGTTAAACTCCCTTCACTTTTCTCCAGCAACGTAACTTTGTTCCAATTTCGGAAGGCTGCTTCTTCCTTTGGCGCTCTTGTGATGTTTCCCCATGTCGGCTATTCTGTTGCTTTTTGAAATGGTGTTAAATTTATTACCGTGATTTTGGTGTACCCAACACAACTGTATTGAAACTCCCCAGAATCCATTCATTGAGAATGTTTCCTGCTCCTCTGACACTGCCTGGCCTGCTGTGTTCGTCCAGCTCTACACCTTGTTATCTCGGATTCTCTAGCAACTATCTCTCATTGAGAATGTTTGCTGTTTGTTGTCTGTAGCCAGAGGAGAATGCAGTCATCACTGGATTTAAGATTTCAGAAATCAAAGGCTGTTGTGTCACTCAATTTGGAATTCTGGGTGTGAGGTTTAAAGCAAACGCAAGCTGATATGAGAAAAAAAACTTCTGTGGTACTGGGTATTGAACTATTGATGTTCAGATTCAAAAATTCAGTTCTCCATTGCTCACACTAAGGAGAAATCATTTTGGGCGCATTCACACTTTAGCTAGTTTTGTGCATTTTGCTCAGGGTAGTGGTGAAATACTTGTGTTGGAAAGGAATGTGAATCTGGTGCTGCTTGCTGCATGATTGCCTACACAATATAACTCTTCAGGTTTCAGAATTTAATTGTGGCATGATGACGTATCCCTTTGCTGAGAGAGGATATAAATTAATTAAGGCCCCTTTCACCTGTCATTTAGAATACCTCTTCTCAATTGTTCATCCAGTGCAATTTATGGCAGTCATGGAGTACATCAAGCTATATGGCGAGGAGGGGCTACATGTGAAAGTAGGACACAAAATATAAAATTTAATTCCAGCAATTTGAGTCTACTAGGTCCTATAATCAAAAAAACCTTTTTATTTCATAAAGCATTTTTCTGTCAAGAGCATTGCTCTGTGTACAACACTAATCCACTCTGTTTCTTCATAGGCACACAGTACCTGCCAGTCTATGGAAGGAAGCTCAGGGAAAGGACCAAATGTGGTATGAAGGAACCTTGGCATTAGGCCATCCTATCATTCTTTACTTCCATGGTAATGCAGGCACCAGGTAAGAAGTTAGATTTTTTTTTTTTTTTTTTTTGTTTCAAAACTGGTTCCTTTCAAATTCTATCCTTATGTAGCCCAGAATGAAAAATGTTGAGATGGGGGTGAGAGGAGTAAGGTTATGGAGCAGTTGATGATGGTGTAAAATTTGAAATCACCGACTCCCTTTTTGACAGACTGTGATTATAGCAGCAATTGGGCCTCTGAGAACAACAGGGATTAAGCTGCACCTCAACAGAAAATAAACCTGAATCTTTAAATGATCTTGCAGGAATTCAAAATTGAAAGAGTACAGAGAACCCTGTAGGGCAGAAGTAGGTTACATAGGTACAGAGGTATGATGCCGTAAGGAATTGAAAGCAAGGAAGAGAATTTTAACATTGCTTCAGACGTGCAACACAACAGCCCTAGTTTTAATAACTGTGAACGTAATTCTATATTTCTGTATTCTTGAGGGTCAAAAATTGGGAATAATTACAGGGGAAGATTTCCCAGCTGATTTAGCTTAAAATAACAACTGTGAATATAAAAATGTTTCCAGTTGTGTTACAAATAGCAACAGGAGAAGCCTACCCAAAATAAGAGTTTGTTTGTTTGTTTGTTTGTTTGTAACTTAAGCAGGAAAGAGAAGTGAATGTGACTTGTTAAGAAACCTTTTATTATTCAGCAGCTGGCAGGCAACTCGTTGTAGCTCAGATTAGAACTAAAAATCATCAATCACAACATGTAATTGGTAAGAAGAATGTTATGAAGTTGATCATGGGGTCAGTCAGCCACTACAGCAAAGTTCCTGTCATTCTATTTAGTACTTGTATTCTAGTCCCATCCATTACATAGATGAGTCAGGGTTTCTAGCTTAAGTCACTTGGTCTTTTTGTAATAAAATGTATAATTTTTCCAATTTGCATATAACAAACTCTTTAGTTTTGAGATGAATTTTGTAGCAGGATTACATTTTCCATGTCACCAACTCTGTCCATGTTGATCAGTCACCAGATTTATTGCAACTGAAATGCCTCCATTTCAAGTTGCTTCCAGTTTTCAAAGTTTTAAAGTCACCAGCAAATTTGCATAGATTCTTCCAGTTGCCTGGAATCACATGATTACTCTCTTCCCTATTTCAGCAGGCTTGAGAAATCAAACTATGCTAAAGTAGTTCATTTGCTGAGATGCTAAACACTATTCAACAAAATTTGCTGAAACCTGATTTCTTTGGACAGAGAGACAAAGTTTAGTTCTACAGCTAACCCAGATACAATTTCTGATTAGAGGAGTTGAGCATTAGCGGGGAACATAACACAACAACTGCCCAGTCAATCACATGAGACAAGCTGCAGGCTACCTTAGTGAAATCCCTTTGGGAGGCAGTATGTGGTTGTAATGTCAGTGGATTAGTAATCCAGAAACTTGGGCAAATGTGCTGGGGACATGGGTTTGGATCTCTCTATGGCAGTTGGTGAAATTTGAAATCAGTAAAGAATGTGGAATAAAAATACGGCCTAATGGTGACCATGTAACCACTATTGATTTGTTTTTCTTTGGTTCATTAGCATCCTTTTTACTGAAGGAAGTCTGCCATCCTTATCCCAATATGTCACCTCAGGCACCCAGCAATGTGGATGTCTCTTAAATACCCTCTGGACAATAAATGCTGACCCAGCCAGTGATGCCCACGTGAATGAAAATAGAGTTCTGGTCCTCATAATCTAATCCAAAGCAGGACTTTCAGTCAGTAACTGGTATTTCCTAATGCTGATTCCTACACTATTACCAGAGTACCTTCACCAGGATTAATTGCCTAAGGTTCACTACAGCACTGACCAAAATTTGCTAGGATTTCTTCAATAAAAGTGTTGATCATTCTCTGGGCAACTGCTTGGGTAGTAAGAATGAAGAGTATAAGGGGAGTCAGGCATTCTTAACGGGGAAATCAGGACAGCTAGAAGGAATATGAGATAGGCCTGGCAGATAAGGTTAAGGATAATTGAAAGGGATTCTACAAGTATCTTAAGAGCAAAAGAGTAACTAGGGAGAGAATAGGGCCCCTTAAAGGTCAATGAGAATGTCTTTGTGTGGAACCACAGGAGATTGGAAAGATACTAAATTAATATTTTGTGTCCGTATTTACTGTGGAAAAGGCATGGCAGCCTGGGAACTTGGAAATACATATTGACACCTTGAAAACAGCCCATGTTACAGAAGAGGTGGTGCTTGAGGTCATTTTAAAAAAAAAACAAAGGTGGATAATTATCCAGGACCTGATTAGGTATATCCTAGGAAGAAATTGTGGACCCTTTAGCAGAGATATTTGTGTCTATATATGGGTGAAGTGCCAGAGGACAACTAAAGTTATGCCTTTCTTTATCAAGGAGAGACTGCAAGGAGAAATCTGGGAACTATAGACCGGTGAGTCTGACATCAGTGGTGGGGCAGGTTCTTGTAGGGGATTCAGAGAGAGGATTTACATGCATTTGGAGAGGCACGGCCTGATTAAGGATAGTCAGCATGGCTTTGTGCATGGGAAATCGTCTCACAAACTTGATTGAATTTTTTGAGGAAGTAGCCAAGACGATTGGTGAAAGCCATGTGGCAGATATCATTTACTTGGACTTTAGCAAAGCCTTTGACTAGGTTCTGCATGGTAGACAATTTAAATCAAATGGGATTAAGTGAGCTTACAAATTGGATATAAAATTGGCTTCACGGTAGAGTCGAAGAGATGTGCAGCTCGGAAACAGACTCTTTGGTCCAACTTGTCCATGCCAACCATATATCCTACATAAATCTAGTCCTATTTGCCAGCATTTGGCCCATATTCCTCTAAATGCATCCTATTCATAGCCATCCAGATGCCTTTTTAAATATTATAATTGTACCAGCTTCCACCACTTCCTATGGCAGTTCATTCCATACACGCATCGTCTTTCTGAGTGAAGTTAGCCTTTCGCTCCCTTTTTTAATTCTTTCCCCCTCTCACCTTAGGAGAGAGAGTGGTGGTCAAGGGTTGTTTTTCAGATTGGAGGCCTGTGACCAGCAATGTTCCAATGGGAATTTGTGCTGGGTCCATTGTTGTTTGCCATTTATATGAACAATTTGGTTGAGAATTTAAGAAGCGTGGTTAGTAAGTTTACAGATGACACCAAAATTGGTGGTATAGTGGACAGTGAAGACGGCTTTCTAAGATTACAAAGGAATCTCGATCAATGGGCCGAGTAGTGGCAGATGGAGTTTAATTTGGATAAATGTGAGGTGTTGCGTTTCAGTAAGATGAACAAGGGTGGAACTTGTACAGTTAATGGTAGAGCCCTGGGGAGTGTTGTCAAACAGTCCTAAGGATGCGGGTACATAGTTCTTTGAAAGTTCCTTCACAGGTAGATTGGGTAGTTAAGGTGCTTGGCATGCTTGCCTTCATTGCTCAGACCATTAAGTCTAGGAGTTGGGACGTCATGTTGTGGTTGTACAGGATGTTGGTGAGGCCACTTTTGGAGTACTGTGCGCGGTTCTGGTTGCCCTGCTATAGGGACGATGTTATTAAATTGGAGAAGTTACAGAAAGATTTACAAGGATGTTACCAGGACTGGAGAGTTTGAATTATAAGGAGAGGCTGGATAGGTTGGGACTGTTTCCCGTAGAGTGGAGGAAGTTGAGCGGTGACCTTTACGGAGATATATTAAAATTAGGAGGCACGTGGATAATGTCAATTGCAAAGGTCTTTTCCCTAGGGTAGAGGAGTTCAAATCTAGAAAGCTTATTTTTAAGGTGAGAGGAGAAAGGCTCCTTTTAAATCTGTGGGCAACTTTTTCACACAGGATATTTCATATGTGGAACGAATTGCCAGAGGAAGTGATAGATGCGGGTACTGTTAGGATATTTAAGGCATTTGGACAAGTACATTAATATGAAAGTTTGAGAGGTATATCGGCCAAATGCAGGCAAATGGGCCAAGCTTAGTTTGGGGAACTTGGTCAGCATGGATGAGTTGGACCAAATGGACTGTTTCTTGCTGTATGACTCTATGAATGCTTCATTGGATCAGCTAACCCTGTTTTGCACATTTTACCAGAGTTATCATTCATCTCTGTACATGTCTCCTGTGGAGAGTGTCAGCTTCTTTACCCCAAAGCAAGTTATCAATTGACGTGGACTAGGTGATTTGAAGGATTCTCCAAATTACACTTCCTCTAAAAATGCCTAAGGAGGCCAACAGTCCCAACTGAAATATAATGTATACCTTGTTTTTTTTTTTCAAGCCCAGTTTGTGTTATGAATTTGTACATCTGCTATTTAAGCATCAGTTGATAATCTGTTATGCGTATCAGATCTGCTGTCTTCTTTTCTGGTACCATACTTTCTACTGTGGGTAGTCCATATTGTTGTCAGTAGCTGTGACTTTTCTCTTCCTTTTTTAACTTCAGTTTGCAGGAGACTATTTTTCTTTCTTGAAGCAGGACCTTGGGAATGGACAATAATTGCTGGCCTAGCATGTGATAGTCAAACTACGAATGAATATATTAACGAAAAAAGAGAAGCTTTAGGGCCTCTAGTACCTTGAAATATAATTTTTAAAGAACTGCCCGTGATTAGAGAAATGAACCTGGTGTCTATAATTGAGGTCCCATGAATCATCCTGCATTTATCCTATACCTCAGTGACTAACGTTTTTCTTTAAAGTGATATTTTGCTTTTATTTTTGTGGAAATGAATATCTGGATAACATTGACAAAGATGTTTGAATTGTTTTTAAAGCTTTTTTTATATAAAATTGCTTAATTTGTTAGTAAGCATTAATTTTGTTTGATGGTCGTGAATGTTTTTTAAGGTGATGACGCTGAGAAATATTAATTTGTAAGTTTTATTAAATGTCTTTTATGTCTTTCATATCTTAAATGTAAGGTAGGCTAGTCTCAATTAAGAGATAGTAGGAACTGCAGATGCTGAATACTGCATCCGCTGTACCCGGTGTGGCTTCCTCTACATCGGGGAAACCAAGCGGAGACTCGGGGACCGCTTTGCAGAACACCTACGCTCGGTTCGCAATAAACAACTGCACCTCCCAGTCGCGAACCATTTCAACTCCCCCTCCCATTCCTCAGACGACTTGTCCATCCTGGGCCTCCTGCAGTGCCACAACGATGCCACCCGAAGGTTGCAGGAACAGCAACTCATATTCCGCTTGGGAACCCTGCAGCCCAATGGTATCAATGTGGATTTCACAAGTTTCAAAATCTCCCCTCCCCCCACCGCATCCCAAAACCAGTCCAGCTCGTCCCTGCCTCCCTCACCTGTTCTTCCTCCCACCTATCCCCTCCTTCCACCTCAAGCCGCACCTCCATCTCCTACCGACCAACCTCATCCCGCCCCCTTGACCTGTCCGTCCTCCCTGGACTGACCCATCCCCTTCCTAACTCCCTACCTACACTCACTTTTACTGGCTCCATCCCCGCCTCTTCGACCTGTTTGTTTCCTCTCCACCTATCCTCTCCTCTATCCCTCTTCTATCCGCCTCCCACTCTCTCCCTATTTATTTCAAAACCCCCTTCCCCTCCCCCTTTTCTGATGAAGGGTCTAGGCCCGAAACATCAGCCTCTCTGCTCCTATGATGCTGCTTGGCCTGCTGTGTTCATCAAGCCCTGCACCTTGTAGTCTCAATTAAGTTTTTTTTTTTAAAATTGAAAATGCCACACCAGTAAATTAAACACAGTGAAATCCGACTCAAGGAAAATTATTCTATTAGAAATCTGTTCTAATTTGCCTTTTGTGTTTGTGTGCAGAGGTGGGGATCACAGGGTTCAGCTATATAAGGTAGGAGGTTTTCTAAATTAATATTGTGCTGGTGGAGGAATATTATTAATGTAACATGTCGCTTCAGTTTATAAAAACAAGGGATCAATGAGCATGTTAAACTATTCCTGGTCATTTTTTGTGTTCCATTCCACTTGAATATCTTGGAGTTAACAACTTTCCTAACAAATTCTCATTGGAATGAATGTTTGTAATGGTGCTTTAAATCTGCTGTTCTAATTTTCAGTTTAGGAAGTGGACATCTGACAGAGCCCTCAATTACCCATTTTTTTTTTGTTCAACATTTAGAACATCAACAGGTTTTACAGTCATGCCAAGCCATAGCGCTGCATGTGAGAGCATTAGCTGAAGTTTCATGGAACGATGACCTTCTTGCATGTGATTAATCTACCTGTATGGTCTTAATTACAATGCTTATTTCAGTTAAAATGCCTCCACTTCAGGTCACTTCTTCAGGTATAAAATAATTCTCTGCAACTGGGATTGTTGCATGTTCTTCAGTATACTTGAATAGATACTCCACAACCCCTCCTCATGAAACCACTCATTGATACATTGATCAAGATGGTTTAGTAAGTCTTCCACTCAGCCATATACAGATCTTGAGATGGAGTACATAACCCAAATAAAATCCAAGATTTTTCCGCATGCTGTTTTAACTTCCAATTTCTTCATGACGACATAGCTTTTTAAAAAAACTTAACTAATTTTACTTTAACAAGTGACAAAACAGAATTATGGGCGTAGCCAGATTTCTGCTTCTCTTTTGCAACAAGACACATCCAGTGGAATCACATGGCAAAGGGTTTTTTAAAAAAAAAAAGTCAATGGCTAATGTTTGGCACTGTTTTAATAATATGCAATATTAGTGTATTGTAATATTAGCAAAGACATTAGATTTCAGCAGCCCTAATTTACTTATCTAGAGTGTGCATAGCCACTGAGCTAAGCAATAATCTTGTCGCTGTATAGATAGCGTTCTTTAAACCAACCTTCTGGTTTGCCCGCTGGATACTCTTTGACATAGTGAGCCTTTGTTTAAACTGCACTACAGCTGCAGCCATTTGAGTAACATAACAGAGGCCTTAGCCTGCCTGGAAACTGTTTGATAAGGTCAACTGCTGTTGTATGAGATTGAAGTTGGGTGGACAAGGAGTTGAGTTTACAATGAGAACGTGTTTCCTGGTGGATGTTTTCTCCTAAGCTTTTTGCCTCGGTCATCAGTTATTATACTTGAGTGTGGTGGGTTTGACTATCTGGAGTGGTACATAGCTTCTTCATCTTCAAAGGTGTTCAGAAGGCAAGAGGGACAGCGAACACTGCCCAAACTCCAGAAAAGCATGCAGAACCTACTCCTGACAATGGATGTCAATGTCAAGGAGGATTTCCAGGAGGTAAAGAGCCAGCAAGCCCCTCACTTTGCCTCAAAGGCCTCCAAGATCATCTGGTCCAGTGTATGTTATGGAGCAGGATGAGATGTGCTTTCAAGGTGCACAGGGAGAACGCAATGATCAACAGCCTGAAGAAAGAAGATGGTTCATCTCGGTCTGACATCCTGAGGATCAGCAAATGCTTAAATGCCAACCTGTGTGACTTGAAGCCCACAGCCCAGTCATTGTCCTCCTCTATTATGGAGGCCTTAGATGGCAGCATGCAGGAGAGGCTAGACTAGCAGCTGTCTTTAGATGAGCTGACCCTCAAGTCGATTGAAACAAATAAAACTCCCAAAAGTAAAGGCTTACTAATTGTGTTGTATTCAGCTCTGTAGGACTTGATTGACCAGGACCTGCTGCAGGTGTACAATAGTATGCTTCTTGCTGGTAGCATGTGCAAGTCCATGAAGAAAGTTATCATCGCCCCCATTTACAAGTGGAAGGGGAGAGGGAGGAAATTAGAAGTTAATGACCAATTTCACTGTTGAATGTGGATTATAAAATTGTGTCTAAGGTCATTGCAAACCCGGTCAGGTCTGCTCTGGGATCAGTGATACACCATGATCAAACTTGTGCTGTACTGGGCAGGAAGATCTCCAGGAGCTTACATGCACGGCAGTGAGGTAGACACCTGCCTCATCAATGTGGACCAGGAGAAGGCCATTGACAGGATTTCGCACATGTACACGTGGGCTCTCGGGAGGCAATCTGCAATACATCTGACTGCTCTACACCTACATCATTAATGCAGTCGAAATCAATGGATGGGAATCAAACCTTCCTGATCAGATCTGGAGTCAGGTAGGGCTGCTTCCTTTGTCTGTTGTACAGAGCCTTTTGCCGAGTCCATCGTAGAGGTTACAAGCCTGAGAGAGGTGAATGTACCAGTCAGCAGAGCCAATACAAAGCCTCCCTGTACATGGATGACATCTCCGTTTTCTGCTCAGATCTGCTGTCAGCGTGCAGACCTGTGAACGTCTACGAACGGTTCAAACCAGCTTTTGGAGCTGAGGCAAGAGCGGATCTGGGCCGAGTGATATCTCCCCTGCCCCCACCCCTCACCACCAGAACAGATTACCTGAAGCTGCTGGAAATATGGATTGGAGTGGCGTGTGCCAAAATATGGTAGGAGTGTATTGCCAAAGTGAGGCAGAAACTGGGCAGATGGAGGACCGCTCCCTCTCCATTGTGGGAAAAAACCTGGTCATCTCCTGTGAGGTACTGTGTTGTTATATGTGGCGAAGGTCTGGCCTATTACTTAAACCTGCATCCCTGCAGTCATCCGAGTCATCTTTCACTTCATCTGGAGGTCAAAGATGGATTGTGTCTCAGGGACACCATGCACAAATCTCTGGATAAGTAGGGGGATGAATGTATCCAATGCCACCCTCATCCTGATGGCCACATTTGTGTGTGGCTGCATCAAGCTATAGACCCACTCGCAAACATCAAGTGTCACTACGTTCTACCTGTACCCAGTGTTGCAAAGGATGGGCCTGGCCTCATTGCCGTGGAATGCTCCAAGCAGTTGAACTGTCCTATATCACCTGTCACTTGTGGAAAAAGTTGTAAAGGGAAACACCTTTAACCACATGTCTGTCAGGCAGCAGTTAGCACGTAGCATCCTTGAGACCCTGCGGGAAAAGGAGAGGGTTGATCCTGTTGGGGGTTCCTTGAGCAGACTGTCAAAGTCATTTGATAGAATGCCTCATCCCCAATTCTTTCCAGTAAGCACCAAGACAGAGCTTGGTTGGTGGTGAGAACAGCATTACCTGTGAGATCCTCCTTGTAAGCCTGGACTCTGCCATCACACGTTGCCCTTGAGCAGCTGCCGAGGGAAGAGACTGTCACACCATTCTTCCTGGAATGTGCCTTTGCAAAGAAATAATGGAGAAAGATGCTGTGATTTTTGTTGAGGTTCATCCTGAGTTGGTCCGTGATGCAGGATTCTGTGATCTACACTCTGTTCCTGGGATGCAGACTGATGCAAACATTAACTGCCCTGGAAGACCATCAACTCTGAAAGATGCTCTTTGGTCTGCCCAAAACACATTGACCTTTCAGTGTAGAGAGTTAACCTCGACTGAGTGTTGCAGACTGGCACATTCTGAGGTCCAGGACTGAGGGATGCACTAAAGCTTGGGTCACCTGCCACCAAGGTGTAGTGGGGAAAGCCCACTATCTACAGTCTTTCTGCCAACGACCAACAAGGATTTGTTCAGTTATCAGACTCTGTTTACCTTAATGTATGTAAACAGAGTCCTGCATGAGTGAGAAATGCCTTTGGTTTTTGCAACTGCAAGGAATGTTAAATTCCAGTGTTTTTTGGTGTCTTCATATGTAAAGACTGTACAGACCAGCTTTAGTACCTGTGTATATACATGAAGATAGTTTTATGAATTAATCATATTTTTGCAATAAAATCTGGGGTGACACATAAGTACTGCTGGTGGGTTGAGGAGGTCATTGAATAAGGGTACACTTGGCCCTAGCAGCTTTTTCCAGTAGCCTGTCTGTTGGAATTACCCTCCTGATGTGAGGGGGTTAGAGTATTGTTGCAGAGGATAGTGAATCGGAAGTCAGTTGTTTGAAAAGTACCTGAGACTGAGATTGAAGAAGGAACTGAACATTGCCCTAGATGGCCAGGGACTGAAACAGAAAGCCACCCTATTTATTTGGGTTCACCATTGACAGAATTCTCACGCACTGACAGCAGGCCCAATGGAAATACAGCTTAATAATTTAGCTCAAAGATCACTATATTTTTGATCTATCTGAATTGCATTGTGAGGGTGCAGTCTATTGTCAAAGGTTTAAAATGGCAATCAATGTAGAAAAATGAACCCTTAACAAAAAAAGTTAATTCCAAAGTACACATTTTATCTCTGGAATGCTGTTCGCTGATGTTGATTCTGAACTATTGAAACATATGAAAAACACATAACTCTGTTACTGCTGTAGATAAAACAAAAGTTTCAAAGCACTATCTCTCCTCAGCACAAAGCCCAAACTGTTCAACATTGTGACAGAGAATAAGTAATAGATTGTTCTATTAAAATAACTTTGTGCTAAAGATATGTTACATTTCTTTTTTGTTTATGAAAAACACTATTTTGTTTTTTCAACTAGTCAATTTTACACTTGTGACTAATGATCAGACATTTGATGAGCTGAAGAATCTAATGTAGATATATAAAACTATGAAATCTGTATTTGTTTGTATTTTGTACAAACTGAAATATCTTGGGAAATGGATCTATTTTTTAAAATTAAAGTTGAGAACCCGATGATTCTCCATGCTGTGGGTAAATGCATTTCTTTACAGTTGACAGGAGAAATTCCGTTCAAAGTTTCTGAACATTATCATAAGCAGGAAGAATATCATTTTTTTTCAGATTCTCATTCCATGGTACCCATTAAAAAGGGGAGGAAAAAAGTTTGCAGCTATGTAGCATATTTCATGATCTTGGGATCTGCCAAACCACTTTGCAGCTCATTAGATGCTTTATTGAAATGTGGTTACCCTTGTAATGTAGGAAACATGTTGACCAATTTGCACACAGGCTG